ACTGATCTGCCTCACCCGGGAAGAACGCAATGATGGTGCCAACTTGGGTCAGTGAAGCAACATCCTCCACAACTAGACTGAAGAACAAAAGGACAGCAACTTGTCTAGTCCCCTTCCCCCAATTCCCCAGTGCTGTTCCCATCTCCCAATTCCCCAATAAAAATCTTAAAAAAAAAAAAAGAATTATGTTCACTCAGAAGGAAACAAGACAATTTTTTGAAACATTCAGCCTTTAAAACATCCTTCATCTAATTTTTCTGTATGGGTTATGCAAGTGGTTAGCCAAATGAACTTGCAGTCATTATCTTTATTCAGTTTAAAAGCACATGCATTTAAAAATTCAATATACTGTTAAAACATTTCATTTTGATTTTGAACTGATTTCATTGGACTTAAAAGGTTATGTACCACAAACCAGTGGTATTTAGCAGCACTCACAGGCAGGAAGAAGGGCCACAGGTAGATAGTTTTCAGCAAGATATTCTTTTATGTGGTCAGCTCTGCTAACAAATATATTTGTCAGTTTAACCACTATAGTGGTGAAAATTTATTCATTTACCTCACATCAGGCCCTGTTCTAAATCCTTTACATGGATTAACTTATTTCATCTTTTGAACAATCCTGGGAAATAAGTAGCTTTTTAGACCTCATTTCCCAGATGATGAAGCTGAGGTAAGGAGAGCTGTGTAACTTTCCTGAAGCCCCACAGCTAGAAGTAGGAACTGAGATTCAAATCCAGGCAGCCTGTCTCTAGAGTCTCCTCAGAGGCAGGTGCTCAGATGTTGAAGTAGTTACCAGCCGCTGTAGAGAGACTTTATCATCTGGGATTTTTTTTTTCCTGTTCTTTATACAATTGATTTCAAGATAACTTGGTTCTGTTTTTGAATCCCTGCTCATGTTTAGTTATTAGATCTCATTATAAGGTACTTTCTATATGATAGGAATATCCAAAGTAGCATAAAGATAGAATTTCAGTATCTCATTATACATAAAAATAGAAATATATTTTAAAAGATATTTACTTCTGTTTCAAAGGGCAGGATAGCATAGTGGTTTATAGCTGTGCTTCTCAAACTTGAAGGTACCAATAGCTTGGGAATCTTGTTAAAAATGCAGATCTTCAGTAGGTCTGGGGTGGGGCCTGAGATCCTGCGTTTCTAACAAGTTCCCAAGTAACAGTGATACTGCTGGCCTACGGACCACAGTTGAGGTCGCGAGCACTTACAGTGTGAGCTCTGGAGTCACACGACTTGTGTTTGAATTCCAGGCCCATTACTTACTAGTTTTGTAACATTTGCTTCATGTGCCTCTACTGCATCTATAAAATAGTGAGATCATTAAAGGGCTGTTATGAGTATTACATGAGATAATCCATGGATAGTACTTAGAATAGTCACTGACACATAGAAAGCACTCAATACATATTATCTCTTCATATTACAGAAAACTATTAAAAGCATATATTGTATCCCGTTACAAATCCATTTATAGAATTGATTGATATAGCAGAAACACTAAATAAAATTTGATCATTCTTTTCCAGTCACTAGAACATCACTGTATATTGAAGGACATTAAATACATAAGTTAGCTCCACTACCCAGCTTTATTAAATACATAAATCTGAATCTGCTCTAAATGAATTTGCATGAAGTTGGCGTGGCCTACAATATTTAAAGGGAATATTTTGTTTCTCGGCCAGAAAACATTTTTGTATTGCAGGTATACAGAGTTCCAATTCATTTATTTGAATAGCTTCCTCTGAATTTAGAAACAGCCAATTTTGTTTAAAGATTTTCATTTTTATCAAACAGAAATCAGAACTAGTATTCGTATGAACAATAATAACGATTTAAAAATTTGTTCATACAGGGACACTAGTATAGTTAAAATGAATTTGGAGAATTTAGCCAAAACCTTCACTGACAACTGTATACATTTTCAAACCACTACACAATGCAGCATAATTACCTCTTCATTGTTGAAGACTGGGGCTTAGAAAGAATATTACTTGTCAGAATTGTGATGGTTTAATAATGATGTGATAAGGGAGGGACTGGTGGGTAGAAAAAGTAAAGTCAGGGCCATAAATGAAGATACAATTTCACAGCATCATTCCAAGTGAAAACTATTAGAAATTTCTCAAATTTGACACTGCTTGAAAAACAGAGACAGGAGGAATGGAACGAAGTACACTAGACAAGAAAGATTAATGTTTGCCCAGTCATTGATAAAAAATAGGAAGGGTAAAAACCCTGGTGCTTCAGTCAAGGAGGAGATGAGAGCGATGAAGTGTTTGGAGTTGGTCAGTACCTTTATGAGTCAGAAAGAAAAGATCAATAAACAATTTGCTTCTCTTTTCATCTTTTATTTCTCTAACATAAATGCTGAAAAAGACAACTGAGAGATAGATTCTAATGTTTATTTTTCTAAATTAAAGCTAGATTCAGCATAGGCAATGCACACCTGCCCTGTCAGATCCTGATGGATAAGAATCAAGGAAAAGGGAGGAATTTGGGTGAGTAGACTAGATTATTCTCTTCCTCCTCTCTTCCCTTTCGCTCTTTTCCTGCTGAATGGTCCTGGCTGTTCCTTTAATGTCCATTGTGATATGAGAAATGTTTTAAACACAAGTAACAACTGTTACTTTAAAAAGCAAGATTTTATTTTTTAAAATCTGCATAACAGTGCCTTACAAAAAGGACTGCCATATGAAAGTTTTTAAGGCAGGGTTTACTTATACTCAACTACAACAACAAATGAAATAATTATTAGGTTTAACTTGTACTTTCAGTGAAAAAAAAAAGTCAATTGTGAGTATTGTGATTCTTAACATCTACAGAGGTGATAACCACTACGATCAAATAGTTAGCATTAGTGGGGTACAGGAAAAATAGAGTGTAAACAGAATTATATCAACATGATGTCTTGTTATTTGGGTTTCTATTGTTTTGAAACAAATTCCTGAAAAACAGAAGTTTACTGCTAAGCCTGAGCTAACTTTTTTCATGTACAAGGCAGGTATCGGTCTCTCAACACAGGAGAAGTAAGGAATTCCATTTCAGTGTGACCTATTTATGCCTCTTAGATTTATCATATGCATTTTTTAATGACCCTGAACCAAAGGAAATGTAGAAACCTATTTGAAAAGCTGACATTAAGGTTGTGACACCAACCAAAACAACAAGAAAATTTAAAGTTAAACTGACACACAATCCCCAAATCAGCCTGTTACACTCCTAATTTAAAAAACATTACTGTGTGAAATAGCGATGGCATGTCAGCCTGTGCTTTGAAACCCTTGGATTTTGTCATTTGCTGTTTGTGTCACAACCTTAATATTATTTAAATATACTTTTTAATATCTATTATTTAAAAAATATCTTTGAATTGAAGAGATTCCTAAAGCTTTCAAGAAGCCAACCTCAAAGCACTGCATTCCGACTGTGCCACTTTTATTAGGAGTGGTGCATAAAACATTTGCTGTTGACAAATCTAATTCATTAAGAGGTGAGATGGATGCATTTTAAAATAACTGGCTGGCATCATTATCTGCAGTGCCTTTTATAAATTATTCCTCTTTTCCCTTTTGACTGAACTTGTCACAGTTCCCTTTCAGTCTTGAGTGTTATGCCTTATAGTCAATGCTTTCAACATGTTTAGACAAGTCACAAGTTAAACAAGCAGTGGTACTTTATTTTCTAGAAATGAGAAAGGGTAGCAGAGATACTTACAGATTATTTCATTCAATTCACTGATTTTTTAACTAAAGACAAGCAAAGTCAGTTAGTGGTAGTTTCATCTCACACAAAGGTTTGAAAAATAAAACTATACTGTGTGCATAGAAGGGAGAATTTCAAAGAAAGAAACATAAAGAGAGAAGCTGGCAGCCCTGCTGCGCTGTTGTGCAGACTTAGTTTAAAATTGAATTGTGCTTCCCCTGACATCGGAGATCAGGTACATCATAAGGCTGACAGCTGGCTGACACACTAACTTCCTAAAGGAAAATGCGAACTGTATTTCTCTTAGAGGCCAAAGGAATAGAATTATAGAAGCCTTCAAGGAAACTGAGCAGTCTGAGTACAAATTATTCAAAATATGAGGAAAACATTTTTTACCTAATTTTGTTTCAGAAGACTCTAAGAATGAGCTGGCCTTCCAATCCTAAGTGGATAGAAGATTATTTCCTTCTGATTTGTCAGTAAAAGGGCTGTCGTTTCTTTAGTATCTTCAGCAGAATTTTTTCCAAAATATACAAAAGGCACCTATAAAATAATTAAATTTCATCAATGCCACAATGGAGGGGGCATAGTCACATTAGTTATCTGCATTGATAATGACAGTATTATCACTAGGTTATGACATACAAGCTTGAGCCAAGAGATGCTGGAAATACATAGACATGCTAAAGTTGGAGTACCTAAGAAAAGCTTATTAACAAGATGATCCACAGCTTACAAGCACATGGATAACAGAAGCGCCTAGGAAAATGCATATTCAAAAACATTCCATTCATTTTCATTGATTTTTCAAATGTTCCTAAAGAAACATAGATCATAGTAAGGGATGGTTGCATGATATAAAACAAGCAATGCTTGTCAATCCAATCACCTTTTTTCTTTCCTGTTTAGTTACCAGTTGCCCTATAACAGTTTATTAAAACCATCTTTTCCTCCACTCTTCTGGGTTGTTTAGTTAAAACAGATTCTAACTCCATTGATCTGAGGTTGGGTGGGTTCTGAGATTCTGTATTTCTAACAAGCTACCAGGTAATATTATTGATGCGATGGGTCCATGGACCACACTTTTACTAGTAAGTTTGCAGCAGCCTGTTTATCTTTCCCTGCACCAAAGTACACTGCTGTTATTCTTGGCTATTGGCCCTTTGTCTTCCCATATAATTTGAGAATCTTTTGTCAAGTATTCTCCCCTGCCCACTAAAACAGACTGAAATTTGATTGAGATTGCATTGATCAAATTGGGCATCTGCAAAACGTTGAGTTTCCCAAGCCACGTGTATCATGTATCATTCCACTTATTGAGGTCTTATTGTCACACAGCAACGCTTCACTATTTTCCCCACGAGAGTTTTGCACATCTCTTATTATGTTAGATGTATTTCAAGGCACTTCGTATTTTGAATGTTTAAATAATATTTCTTTGTAAAAACTTTTTCATTTTTTGTTTATACATTTATGTGTTTGTATAATTTTTATATATTGATGTTTTCATCTAGAATATTTGCTGAAGCCTTATTCTTATTTTTTTCTGTAGCTTTATATAATGTACAAGCAATGAGTTTTGCTTCATGGCAAAACTTATACTTTTTATTTATTTATCTTGCCTTACTAGATGAAAAAAATAAACAATAAATGTACTTTTTAACAGAAAAGACTATTTTGTTATATATAATCAGCCAAACTGATCTCTTGGTTGGGCCTAGGACAGCTAGAAAGCTGACATAAAGAAGGTTCCAAATGTTTCTTCTGATATTTATCATCACCTTGATACTTTTGGCCTTGCCCTGGTGTCTGATATACAAGTGCTTAAATATTACTAAGATCTATTATCCTAAGCTGACTTCCAGTTGATATTTGACCAGACACAGACAAAAACCCTCATTGACAACTTGGCCTCTCTGGAAACTGAATTTGAACAAAAGAGGAAACAGGATTTATTAAGAGGAAAATGGTTTATTAGATTTATTTAAAAAATCTAAGGACTAAGGAGGAGATGTCAATGCCAGGAAACCATTACAGAGATACGACATATTACCTAGTCTCCATAGCTGCAATCAAATGATTTCTTGGAAAAGCCTTAAATAACTGACCTTACTTTCTTCATGACAATGTCAGCCTGCTCTAGGGCGAATTGTCCTTCTTGATAGCTTTCACACAATCAGTTTGACCAAAGGAAAAAATTAACGTAGTGTTCCACAAACTATCATTGTTGTTAACATTGGTTACCTGAGAAAAGGCAAATGTGCGTGATGGTGGGATGGAAGGAAGAATAAAGAAAGAGAAGAAGGCAGTAACTAAATAATAACCATAATCATCATAAAAATGCAACACATTGTTTCTTTAAAATGAGTTCATCGTCCACTACAAACAATAATTATGAAGAAGTATAGCAATGTAAAAAAATGCTTAAATAGAGAAGTGAAAACAAGACCCAAGACAGCATGTAAACACGTTTAAAAATATATGTACAACATTTTTGACTTGGAAGATCAATCAGTGTGTATTTTTCTCCATTTCCCTCCAGAGATCCTTTTAAAAAGACAATAAAGGTGTGTGTTGGAGGTGGGGGGGCGAGGATGTAAACCCATACCAGTGAAGAGACTGAGAGAGCCCCCACCACCCTACAAATTTGTACAAGGTAAGACAGATGAATGAGTGTTCACAGAAGAAACAGAGCGGGGAAAAGCCAAATTCTAGAATGTGAGCAGAGAGCGCTGCAAGGAATTAAAGGAATGTCCTGATATCTCTGGCAGAAGTATGGAGTAGGAAGTGAAGCTAAATTATGCAATCGGTTGAAGGTCGGTCCAAGAAACACTGAATCTCCCTCACCTAACATTTTGTACAGGCAACTACTTTTTTTTGTTCGTAAATATCTAACTATGAATAAGAAAAAAAAAAACCCTAAATGGGGGAAGTGTTGTGTTTGAGGAAATTAATGAACTGTCTAGAAATCTAGGGAACATGGTATGCATATGGGTGCCCCAAAGAGAAATCTGCCTCCTTCTGGCCTTTAGCTGATTTCCAGCATAGTCATGTTTTTCCTCCTGTTTACTCTAAAGCCCATGCCAGTCAAAACAGTGTCATCAAAATATAGTTTCCAGGCAGCTTTTTTATTTTCTCTTTTCTAATTTGAATACATAGCCAAGGATCACTGAGTATTTAAAGAAAATCTTTTTCTTCACATTTGAGACCAATGTACAACAAAAACTTATCTCAAAGAAAACAGAGATAAATTGATTAATAGAACATGGAAAATTTGCATCACTCTCAGAGAGTAAAGAAAAAAACGTATATATAATACAAGACTAGGAGCAGACTCCCAGCTATGATTGAGCGTGACCAGCAAATACTTTTCAAAAAAAGAAACTAAAGAGTTGGACAAAATTGACAAATACAACTATTTTAGTGCTTTAGAAACTGACCAAAGTAATATAAGAGTTTGAGAAACATTCACATTTGAAAAACTGCTCTTTAGGGAAGAACACTAGGAGCCTGTGGCATTCTGGTCTAGAGCTATTCCCATTCCCACCAACCACAGCTCAGTCACTACAGAGGTTCTTCCAGGGTGGGGAAGATCATCAGGACTGAAAATGTCTCTGCTGAGGTCAAAGAGGGCTCACTTGAGTTTGAGTGGCAGGTGATGTTCATGCCTAGTAGTGTTTCACTGTAAGTGATGATATTGAAGCAGGCAAGGAGGAAGAGCCAACAGCTCTATTAGTCCAAGGTCATGGTCATAGTTGGGGCAAGTATATTCTTGGCTAAGGCTGAGTATATGCAAAGGGGACTGGAGAGGAACAAAGCTAGCCACACATTCCTGAGGCTGAATAATCACTTATACAGAAGAAATGAAAGAGCCCAGCAAAAGCAAGAGCTGGGACACAACTGAAAACAGTATAAACTTTAAATGCATTTCTCTGTCAATACAGAGATTCATGGGGAGATGCACAACAACTTTTTTGACCTGAAGTGTTTAAGCACAACCACTATCCAACCATTGGCTTATCATTGAAGCTACATAGACACAGGGGCAAGTCCTAGGAAGCTAAATGTAAAACTCAAAACAAGAATCTTAAATAAAAAGAAGAAGGAAAAAAACAACAAAAACAGATACATCAGTGGTAACATGGCCACACATCTCACCGGAAAAGATTAATGCCACTGATTAAGTTTAGGCAAATGATTAAAAAAGAAACCAGCAAATAAACAAAACAACAACAACATTCAGAGGTTAAAATATCAGAACCCAGAGTTGCTACAATATATGATCTAAAATGTCCAGTTTTCCACATGTAATTATGAGGCATGCAAAGAAATTGGGAAAAAGCAGTCAATACTAACCTTCTGAGTGTCCCTAGACGTTGGATTTAAACAAAGGCTTCAAAGCAGCTATTATAAATATGTTCAAAGAACCAAAGATGGCCATATTTAAAAAATAAAAGCAAAGTAAGACAACAATGAATAAAAAAATAGATATTTTTAATAATGAGACAGAGATTTTTTAAAAGAACAAAATGGAAATTTTGGGGTTGAAAAGTACAATATATGAAAATCAAATTCACTAGAGGGACTTGACAGCAGATTCAAAATGACCTGAGAAAGAATTGGTGAATTAAAGATAGTTAATGTAAATTACCCAATCTGAAAGAACAGAGAGAAAATATATATTTTTTTAAAATGAGCAAAGACTCAAAGACATCTGGAACAATCATAACCATATCAAAACACATGTAATAACCCTGGAGGAGTAGAGACAGATAAAGGGATAGAAAAAAATATATGAAGAAAATGGGACAAAACCATACCAAATTAGATGAAAAACATTAATCTACTTATCAAAGAAGTTCAATGGACCCCCAGTAGGAAAAACATAAAGAGATCGGTGTCTAGACATAACATAATCAAACTATTAAAGGACAAAGACAAAGAAACTAAAAACAGCAAGCGAATACTAACACATCATATATAGGTAAGCATCAATGAAACAATGGAGTCCAGGTCAGTGGAATGAGAAATTCCAAATATTGAAATAAAAAAAACTGCCCAACAAATATTCTATATCAAGAATTATCATCCTTGGGGCCAGCTGAGTGGCACGTTAGTTAAGAGCTGACTTGGGATGCCAGCTCTGAGCAGCAGGGCCCAGGTTCAGATCCCACATGGGGACCAGTGACACTGCCCTCTACAGCTAAGATGGTGAACAACAGCTCCACCTAGAGCTGGGTTGCCATGAGTCGCCGGCGACAGTGTAGGCTGCAGCCCCTGCTGCAGTGGGCTGCCACAAGCTACCGTGTGTAGCTGGCAGCCAGCATGAGCAGCTGGCAGTCGGTGTGAGCTGCCAAGAACCACTGTGAGCGGCCGTCCAGAGGCTGGCGACCAATCGGCCTCATCTGGGAAGAGCACAATGATAATACCAACATGGGCCAGTGAAGCAACGTCCTCCACAACTAGAGTGAAGAACAAAAGGACAGCAACTTGTCTGTTCCCCTTCCCCCGATTCCCCAGCACTGTTCCCCTCCCCCAATTCC